AGATTGTGAAATATGACTAAGTCTTGATATTTACTCTAATTCGACAAAATTTCGTCACACGTTTCCAGCAGCAGTGACACAAACGARACGCTAAAGAAATTTGGAGTTTTAAACTCAGTTAAGTAAAAAAAACGTGTAAGTAGCGGGCTTGTCGTTTTTCTGCCCATTCGCCTTGGTCRTGGTACTTTTTACAATACGATGTTCAAATACATTCAATAATTGTTTAATCACTTCATTCTTCCATTAATAATATCTTGTAGCATATCAGTATAGGTGTGTACTCTATGAGCATGAATGCATAGAGAATTATAAGCGAGTCATGTACAAAAGAATGCAGTTTTCTGATTGAAGCGAAGGAATTAGTTATCCCTATCATCTAAAAGCAAAGGAAAGATAAAAGGTTAGTTAGTGTGTCTGGACCAACCGGGGGTCATTTTCCGGCTCATTCGATAATTAACCATTGATCTAGCGCGCTGTGATTGAGTGTACCTGTGGAGGGTACAAGACTTAACAAGACTCAAGTCTGGTCTTAAAAAGCATTTTAGTTCTCGCTAAAAGATTTAACCCTGTGCGCCATGATTTTCAACCATTCACAAGAGAATTAAATGACAAAAGACACGGCGGCCATGTTGGAGGATATAACAAAAGAATTCATTGACAATTCTTTTGTTAAATTCCTCCAACATGGCCGACGTGAAAGCCATCAATACTACATAAATATATTGGTTCGGGCATATAGTTGTATTATAAAAGTAAATACGAGAAGCTTCTCGTATTTCCTTTTTTGCAGTACTACTACATGTTTTAACACATGTTTTAATCTTAGTATTTTGTACTCTGTACTATATTTTCTGTCTGTAAGTTTAATTTGATGAACTGGGCATCTCTGTATAAATGTTGTTGATAAATGAATGAATATCGTTTTGTGGTACTGTCGTTTCACAGTCATAAGAAATCCATCCAGCAATCAAYGCCATACCCAGTAATAGTAAAAATAGCTAGTGAGCTACTCTAGCTTCCACCAGAAAAGAATACGAGCTACACTAACTACTTTACGYATTCTTTGATTGCAACAACATGACTCAAAATCCCTTAATACCGATGAAAAAGCCGCCATCTTGGTTGATCTAACGAGAAAAGCTAATTGAGGAATGCCTTGTTATCGTSAACCAAAATGGCGGCTATGACGTATCATGCACCCCAAGAATACGTATACTTCTCAGTTGAAGAAATGGAAAACGCGCGCGCGTGCTGTGTGCAGTTATAAAGCACGCGGGGGTTKGCAGAACACGAGAGAAGTGTTAGGAGACGCGGAGTGCTTCTCGACACTTCTTGACTGTTCTRCCAATCCCCAAGTGCTTTATAATTCCACACAGCACAGCAAACAAGATTTTTATTTCTTTTATAAAATACAAATTACGATAACTGTTATTTTAGATAGGAACGACGCTACTAAAAGTGCGCGCGCGTGCTGTGTGCTTTCATAGAGCACGCGCTCCCAACCAATCAGAACGCGAGCTTCATAACAGTTATTTTATAATGTCTGATACTTACTGCTAATTTTGACGTATCCTGATTTGTCACCTTTACGATTGACTTCATCGTCTTGATCATCAGCGCTTTCTATATCTCCCATTATTACAGTCTCTTTGCTTTCCATTTTCTTGTCGTAGTAATAACCACTGGAATTATCATACAAAATGTATAACATGAATGTAATGGCCTAAAAGTGGACTCGAAATAGGACAAGTACAATAAAAGAAATGAAAACGGAAAAAAGAAATGAAAGCGGAAAAAGAAATGAAAATGGAAAAAAGAAACATCAGAAAAAATCTGTTAACATTTGGTAGGCTACGATTTCAAGCTCACGCCCCCTCATGTAAGCCCATACAAATTATGTCTCAAAAACTGGGTTTTTGGATCTTTTCTCAAAATAATGACTATCTAGGCAAAAAACAGAAGTGGATTCAGTTAATTCAAATATTCACGGACTGTATTGTACGATTTAGTTTACTTGTGCTATATAACTTTACTTTTACGAACAACCTTTTGCTCTGGAAAGAGAGGAAAAAGACCAAAAAGAGCAAATATTCCAAATGTATGGGTAATTTTTTCAAATAAAAAAAAAAAAATGAAAACGGAAAAAAGAAATGAAAACGGGAAAAAATGAGATTACAAAATATAATGGAAGAAAGAAAAACGAAAACAAAACCAAACAAGAAATAAAACAAAACTATACAAAAAAGGTCAAACAGAAGAGATAAAAGGTGAGTGCATTTTACTGACTTACGCGAAAAGAAAAGCTGCTGCACCTAATACCACCAAGAGAAAGGCCAGTCCGCTTCCTAGAGCGAGCTTTCCATACACTGTATTCAAAAACGTCTTTTTCCCTGATTTAGACGAGTCTTCTTGTCGTCCTAGCAAAGGTATGTCTTTCACAATCTTCATAGCAGGTTCCGTCACCAAGTTACTTATAGAACTAAACACTGTAGTAGTTTTTTTTGTAGTTGGCCTTAGCGAGTCAGTCGTAGAACCAATCACTGCTGGTTTTGTTACATTAGTAAGCGTCGCCTTGGTTGCTTCTATCGTCGGCTCATTCGTAAAATTACCTGGGTGGGTACTGTTTAGCTTTGTAACATTGAATACTTGTGCTGATTGGGTCGTAGTAAGGCTGTGGTTGTGAAAAGCTTCTACGGAACCAGATTAATCCAAAAAATCAAAAGATCACACCAAATATAATTCACCTTTTCGGCGCTGGCCGTCACGGGGGTATAAATTGTTTTAGATTGTGTTACAGACACCAAAAAGTTCGGACATTGTTCTCGAATTTCCGTACAAATGAACTGAATCTAAATGAACTATTTACTTGCCTAAATGTTTAGAAAGTTCTCTAAATACAAGTAATTGATCATTTTCTAGCTTGATTGATGCTTTTCTTATTGCTGTTAAGAGAGCTAACTAAAGAAATCTATCTAAATTTTCTCTTTAAAGTCAGTGAATTTGTATGGAAATCCAAGAACGATGTCCGAACGTTTTGGTGACCGTAACACAATCCAGGCTAACGCCGATAAGGTGAATTCAGCCTCAATTCTTATAGTTTATCAAAAGTTATTCCTCAATAAACAATTGACTCAACGACAAAAGCTTACTCCAGCACTTAAAGTGACCATCATGCCCATTTTTATGTATGTCAAAATGTAAATCATTACGAATAAGAAATACTGAAAAAGGACGTTTTTGATAGTTTCGATGTATCTTTCTTGCATTCTTTTGTAGTTGGACGGACATAAGACAGTGCATTCATACAGGTGTGTAACAATAGAGARTTTTAGATTTACGTTCACGGCAAACGTGAAGCGTCAGTTGACCAGTAAAAAATTCTTTTAAATGACTGAAAAAGAATCGCAAAAAAGTCCAAGTAGTAGAAAAACAAAAGAATATTTGTCTTTGGTGAGAAGGTTTGCAAAAGGTAAAGTAAAATACAGGAAAACGATGAAAACGTGGTCACGTTTGCCGTTTGTGGGGAGAAAAAAAAGTCAATCTAAAACTCTCTAACGTTTCAGTTGCGCGGAATGTAGACCATTTTGTCGTTTCGTACCTTTTAGGCTCGTGATTGCACGTTTTTGTCTATTGTCTGTCTATTTCGAGTAACACAYACATACAAGCGCGCGCGCTTTGCTTTAAATGCCAAGAGTTCGATTTTTACCTGTTGTGCTCAAGCCTTTTGCATCAGCAACGCAGCTGCTAAACGAAAATGCCAGTACAATGGTAAATTCACGAGGTTTCATGCCGTTGAATGGCGAGATTGTCTATGTCTGTTTTCCACTACATTTGAGCTCAGCAATTTGTGATGAAGGCGTAATTATGACGTCACGATTAATTATCATTAATTAGTTAGAATCAATAGMCTTTTTCGTATTGGTAAAATACCTTGACGACGGATTCACATACGCAGGGCTAGCCTCATTTTAACGTCAAAATATTCAAAAATACCAACAGTAATGTAAAGAATACGCAAATTTAACAATACAAACACTTTTGAATTTGAATTTGAATTTTGATAACTTTTGATATGTTTTTCTTTTCTCTTTTTAATAATAATCTTTAATGAGCATCCTTCAGTACAGACYGAGTTACAAATATTGTAACATGTATACAAAACTAAAATAATAGCCTCCAACTAATCACGTAAATACAATTGCAGGAGTGCTGCGCCACATATCGCATGCATATTCAAGTGTGGGTMCAATACAGGTGAAATAAACTGTCACCAGGATGGCATTAGGGACAGCACTCCCCTTCAGCAACCTCAGAGCGTAAAGCRTTTTGGACGCTTTTCTACAGATGTTAAAAAATCGAGGCTATCTCTGCGTAAATGAATCTGTAGTCAAGGAACACAGCAGTATTTYAATAATTCGAAAAAGCCTATTATGACCCTTAGCAATTACTTCAAGGTCCAAATGCTGACAACAACTGCTATGAATAAAGCGAAGTGTTTCAAAGGATTTATAACCTTCCTCCAAAAGAATATGAACTTTGGACAACAAATCCTGTCATCATCATCGTCATTATCACCAATACCATCCTCACTCATCATCATCATCATCACTCATCACCATCTTCACTCATCATCATCACCATCCTCACTCATCATCGTCATCCTCACTCATCATCATCACCATTTTCACTCATCATCATCACCATCCTCACTGATCACCATCATCCTCACTGATCACCATCATCCTCACTCATCATAATCTTGCGCGCGCGCGCTCTTCCCATTTATTGCTTTGATAACTAATTAAAAGACTATCATTGCAAGCTCACCGTTCGTCTCGCTTCGATGCAAAGGCACGGATACCTTTCAAGATGGCACAGGGAACTGTGAAGGGGACTATCGTTTTTCAACATTTAGTCTCTCTTAGCTGCGACATAATAGTGATACAGGGCAATACAATCAAGGGTGGAGGGTGATAAACAAAGCAGTCAGTAACAATAAATAATACGACAACAAGTTCTTTAACAAATCTTTACACTCAATCTTTGCGAGTCTAAGAGTTTATATACAGATTATTAATCAAGAACATTTCTTGATGCAAAATGCGAGGTTGGTTAAGAAAGGGACATTAAGTCCTGCCAGTTGTATGAGAATGTCATGGCCCACTCTGTACCTTTCTATACGAATTAAATAAATCTATATATTGAAGTATAATGTCTGAAGGGCGAAATAAACCAGTTTCTTTGTTGGATGTTTTGGGAATTGAAGGAGCAGAGAATGAACTTCCAAGGAAGCTAGCAGCCCATTCGATAATTAGACTCCAGCACTGATCTACATCTTGACAAGGAAGGTACTCAAGCTGCAAAAGATGTAAACTACACGTAAGAGAACAGAGTTTGGTTCACATACACCTAAATCCAAATTGGCGCATGGCCAGTTGAAAACGAGGCATCCGGGGCCAAATTTACAAATTTACAGTATCTTTTAATGAATTGATGCTGCAAAATTGTTGCGCTCCTGAATGTAAGTAGAAAAGAAAGACAGAACAAGTGTATACTTTGCATTGACACCATATTATTTCTTTTGCATTTAAGCCCTGGATGCCTCGTCTTCAATGTAACACACTCGGCCCTGTGCCATATTGGACTTAGGTGTATTGGTTCACTCCAGAATGCATGTGCTGGATTCAATGAACTCTGGGGTGGTTTGAGTATAGTTTAATGAATGAGCAGGARTGTTTTATTGGGTTTTCGACCTGATAAAACACGATCTGTGAGTTTATTGAACGACTTCAAAAGTTCATGAATAATTAATGAGTATTAAGGGTCCTTATTCGTGACATGCTCCTGCACTCTTTTGGTCCTTTACAACGATTTCAAAATCTTTATATAAAGATATCCATGTTGAACTATTATCAGGTATGAAGATCCATGCAAGTGATGGATTTGAAGGACCTGATAGGTCTAAATGCTCATTAACTATTCATTTTTGAAGCTATATATATTTTTATATATTTTGAATATATATATTTTTATATTTATATATGCTGAGAGTGATAAAATGATATGATGAGTGTTAGAATCAAACCCAGGTCACATTGGTGATAGGCGAGTATTCTCACCCCTACATCATCCATGCCTCCCTGGGTAAAAAACCATCAGAATTTCTTTACRTAATGTTTAATAAACAAGCAGGAGTGTCTTTTCGGGTATAAAGCACGAGGCATAGCCAATGATGTGTGTTCTCATATTGTACCGAATTCTTTACAAAATGAACCAAGTTTGATAGAGAAAATCCAAGTTCAAGTTTATGCAAATGAAGACGAATTTATATCAGATATAAAACCTCCTTCATGGTCATGATTTATCTCGTGTTTTCCTCATGAATTATTCATGAGTTTTCAATATTGATTAGTGAGTTAAAGGTATGGCAGGCAGGTTGGAAGGGTCTGAATTTATGAATTTATATATATATATATATTTTTTTTAAAATATATGCTGAGAGTGATAACATGATACGATGAGTGATCAGGTCACATTGGTGATAGACAAGCATTCTCACCCCTACATCACCCATTCCTCCCTGGGTAAAAAACCATCCAAATTTCTTTACAAATAAATAGACAATCATCAATTATAATAAATATGAGTTTGAATTCTCTCTGTAAATATTTTTAATAGTGTTAGAGTGCTAGCACTAAACCTGTGAAGCAAATACTAATTTTTAGTACTAAATAGTGATAATCAAACGATAAGAAACAAAGGATTCTGTATGAATTACTACTAATTAGTACTAATTTTTCTGTTGATTAGTTTCCCTTGAGACTTTCATAAACTTTCTTGTGTCTGCCTTTTTGATCATAAAAGTTTTCCTCTTTTTTCATCTAATGCTTCTACTTATGAATCGGTGCCAGTGTATTGCGTAGGTGAACTTCAGTAGGCAAAACTTATACGTAGGCGAACTTCAGTAGGCGAACCAATGCGTAGGCAAAACAATTGGATACCGTACTACATATTATTCACAGGTTTAGTGCGTGCACTCTATCTATATTACGATTATGAATAGATTAATTAATCATTTCTTTTATCAGGTGTTTRTTTGAACAATACCTCTATCACCACACCCTTGACGCTTGGGCCAATAAGGACCTGTCCTATTTTTAGTATAAAGTCACCATGTTCATATCTTGTTCCCTTTACCTAGAGTAAACAAACAACAATGAATTTTTTTGTGTGTGCGTGGTAAAATATGAAAAAAAACAAGCCCAAACAAGGTTCCTGTGTATGGTTTATAATGAATGTATGCAAGGTATGATGAAAATAACAATAAAATGTTTCACTCAACAATTTGCTTCATAACTTGCTACAGTCGTTCCTTGAACCTTGTTCAGTCTTCTAGCAAAGTTTCAGCTAGATTTGGGGACGTTTAGTAGCTTTTTCAAAATTTGCTCTTTTCTCTAAATCAAGCAATGACTGCAGCAAGTTATGAAGCAAATTGTTGAGTGAAAGATTTTATCACTATATCTTCATCATAACTCCCATACATTCCATTATAAACTATACAAGGGAACATTTTTTGGGCTGCCTGTGAACAGACAATCAGTTTGAAAGCAAATACCAGTCTAGACTGGTTCCATTCACAACAATGCATTTGACATGGGAAACTATCAACATTCCATTCACAACACTGGGTCTCACATATGAATTTTCATTGCATCTGCGATATTGGGTTTTACAAGGGAAAGTAATCAAATTCTATCCACATTACTGCAAATTTGCCAACAGTCGTGAATAATTTCCAAAATTATCCCTAATATTTTTWAATATTTCCAAATTAGGAATATTAAAAATTTCCTTTGACATTGTGGGTTTCCATTGCTATAAGAGCAATACAATATGTAGAAATGTAAAATGCAAAATTTATTTTTCTTATGGACTAGAGTGACCACAGTAAATCTGTGAAACACTAATTACTAAATAGTACAAGATAGTGCTACTGTAGTTAAAMAATAGAAAATGATGGAATTTGCATAAAATTGTGCTATTTAGTATTACTAAAGTTTCACGGATTTACTGTGGTCATGCTATTTAAAATAAGTTTGCAAATATAGTCCAGCACTCACTTCTATCTTTGAAGCCTTTCTCTGAACATAAAAAGCTTTTATTCTGATCATCAAAGAATCAAATCCAGTACTTGCAACAAGACAAGTACCACTTTCAAGAACTGCAAACGAGGTGTAAGGGAATTCCGTATTGTGAACAAGATGAATGTACTTGCTGGATGATGAAGACACTGAAAAAAAGCATGCCTTGAAATGTACATTATTTAACAATCGCCGAAGCAAAGTGAATATCAGGGAATAATAACCTAAATGAAGTTGGTGAATTATTGTTTTAGTATAAATACACAGGTGATTTCTTCAAAAAAAAGAAAATAAAGAAGATAAAAGACACATTTTTTCCCAGTAACAGCAACAAAGCGGCTGCCCGCCATTTTGGATTATTGCTGGAGCTGGTGATTATCATGTGATAATCTGAGTTTCTCGACCAATCAGCTCGTGAGATTTTAAATAATCACCTGTGTATTTATACTAAYTATATCTAAAAATCAAATAAAGCATTCAGGGAGAGGGGATTGCATACCATTTGATGAAGACATGTAGGTGTCACAGTCAACACACCAATTACCAGTTTTGGTGGCACCAAGTAGCTCAGCTCGTTTTTGTAGCATTTCAACTGTTTGCTGGCCACTCTTACCCTCGGCAATCTCCCAAGGAAATACTCTGAATTCATAATAAATAAATAAAAAATTATATAATATTGATAGGGAACTAAAAGGGGATAAGAAATAGCATTCCTAACTGTATGCCAACTTGCAATTTCTATTTGTACGGATATTTAAATAAAGTGGGACTTTGAGGATTTTGGTTCTCCTTGCTCAGAGAAAAAATTCAATGGCAGGCAAGATTCGAACCTGTTACCCTTGGCACCAAATGATATACAATGCCTATCCCAACCCTAACCCTAAACCTAACCACGAAGAGAATTCACTGGGATGCTTTCTGATTTTTGTCATATTTAAAGCAATATCAAAATATTTAAATATCCGTATGAATAGAAATTGCAAGTCAGCATACTGTTACCGTATAAATAGCCACTGCATTTTTGTAGAAACAAGGAGAAAGAGGGACTGCTCAGAGAATGTTTAAAGTAGATGGGGGATGCTGAACTTATGAACTGTTATTGCTTTTTAGTAATCAAATATCATTTGTAATACAGATATTCACAAAGGTACCCCTCCTCCCTCTGTATTCGTAAAATCTATATGCTAAGTCTTTATAATTATTCATACAAATATAGAGAACTTTGCTCTCTTTATTGYAGACACCATCAGGTGAACAGGGACACTTAATTTCCTGATGTGGAATCCTTGTATGCTAGTTGACATAAAAAATCCTGATCAATTGTGTTTGTCCTTGATAATGATTTTTTGGACATGCAGTACATATGTTCATCAAGAATCACCTACTGTACATTCATGGCACATTGCTCAGRCTATTCAGCAAACTGTTTATTAATCTGTTCAAACAAGCAATCACCATCTATCATGTCAAACTTTAAACTCATTCATTATTGGAAGTATTCTTCTAGGTCACCAATGATTTTTATCATTTTACTGGAAAGCCTTCTAAATGCTTTTGTGTCATCAAAGTTTACTGAATGAATGTTGGACAGTGGCAATGTTAAATGGTATCCTAGTTTGTTGAACAAGATCAATAYTTTTTTCATATGTTCTGTGACCCAACCCTTATACAAAGATAAATACCATAGAAGTTGAAAAGTAATATATGGTGGAAATATATTAAATTATTCACACCAACCATCTGGAGTTCAGTCTTTTTTCAGTGCTCATATTTCATATGGTTGCAATAAATCATTCCATTTCTTATATACATAGCGATTTCTTTCTCTATTATTATTTTTTTAATAATTACACCTAAATACAAGAA